CTCATAATTTGCCAAAGTGTAATAGAGTAAATGTCATTAGAGTGCTCAAGCCCAAAATTAGACATCTGTATAATTCTCCCACAGACAAGGCTCAGGACTATTGGGAAGATAGCCAGAGTTTGGGGAAGACCAGGACAAAACAGCATCTTCTGGACATGATGGGACTTCTGTACCCATGAATTCACAGCAATTGTGCTTGCCAGCACAAAATCAAGCTGGTCAAGCATGAAGAGGGACCTCACTGAGGAGCTGTGGACAGTTGGTGGTTTGTAAGGGAGAAAGAACCAGTCTTCTTTAGCCCTTTGGCTCCTAGTAGCTCGACCATGCTCCAGGGGATGGCCACACACCCAGAAGTGTATGGGTGGCACACATTGGATTTAATGGCTTGGTTCAAAAATAAAGCACATAGGAATAAGTTTGGGGATCGATAGGGAGGTGAAGGTAGGTCTGGAGTTGGGGGAAAGAGTAGGGGCATGAAATTCTCAAGGGATTAATAAAAACATTTTAAACAATATATTCTTCCAGAATAATATCATTTAAGTCAGGCTAGGACTAGAATGTGGGGAAGAGTCTGGTGAACAGGAGAACAAGACATAGCTATACACAGTGAAATGTGTTCTGCAGGGAGGTCTGGTTTACAGATGTGGCAGTGAATTTATTTGGGTATGGAGAAAAGAAGCAGCTGAGAGGCAGTTGAAGGTAGCCCAGGTACACAGTTCTGCAGGGAGGAAGCAGTTGGTCTAAAGCTGAAAGATACATCCCTGCCTGCTCCTCCTCTGTCCTTGGCAAGTGGAGCTGTGAGCCTAACCAGGGCCCCAAGCCCAGGTCAAGTGGCTAGTGAGTGGTGGTGGAGTAGGAGAAATGGATGTATTCAACTTTGCTTCATTGTTTGAATTAATCTTTTGGACAGTCTCTGATGTCAGTCAGACATCAGACAGTCTCTGTGTCACTGCTTTTTTTTTTTTTTTTTTTTTTTTTTTTTTTTTACCAAGGATGACACTAGGTTCATCCTTAGGAGACACAGAGCTAAGGCCAGCCCTCCATTGACTCCTAAATGCACAGCAGGGCAGTATGTATGTCTCCTCCAGCCTGAAAGATGCTTCACTGGCCCTGGGATTGAAACCCTAGTTCAGGTCTTCATCTTCTGTCAGCTGTGCACCCTGGGCTAAATTCTGGCTTTATCCATTCTTAATCTTAAGTTTTGCATTGGTACTCTTATTCTGAAGTGAGTTCAGGGAAGGGCTGTTGACATTTGCTGATAGCTAACTTTAAACTCGCATTTTACTCTGGGTTTCTTAGTAGGGAATGTCTAGACAGGCGCAGCTGTTCCAAGTGGCTGGTGGGCGTCATTTTGCATGTTTTTACTTCAGGTCACTAATAACCTATATACACACTAAGTAGACACTCTTGCACAGCGATTCCTTGTCCAATGTTTAGCTTGCCATCTGGTCCCATCCCAACTACTCTAATTAGACAGCAGAGTTAGGCAGTTCAGAGAGTTGTGGAAGAATTCCAATAATCTAGGCAGGCTGATGGTATGATAGAGTCCACATGGAAGGCAAAGCCCTGGCTGGTGGTGATGAAGCATGCTTTTTTCTTTGTCAAATGAAAGAGTCAGTCTCAAATGACCAGCTTATTTTCTTAAGCGTGAACATGCCTGTCCTGGCTGGGCCGCACTCTCCCTGACTCGTAGAAGTTGTGCAGGTAGAGAGAAGCTGCAAGTGTCCCACAGCCATCATGATTCCAAATCACTTGTGTTTGTTTTGAGAGACAGAGGGCTATGCTCACACTCACACACACACACACACACACACACACACACACACACACACACGTATTTGGAGGTATGTGCATCCATGCATCTTAAGGTCAGAGGTCTCTCAGTGAACCTGAATCTCTTTGGTTAAGCCAGGCAAGCTGGTCAGTGAGTTCCTGGAATCAGACTGTCTTAATCTCCACTGGTATTATGGCCTCATGTGGCCTCTGCTCACATCCTAGGGATCCAAAGTCAAGTGTTCACCCTTGTACAGAAATCATCTTACTTTGAAGCCCCTATGTATTGAGATTTCATGATCCCAACATTCTATCTATGCAATGCACCCTTCATACTTATCTTCCTTTTGAAATATGAGTCAACAGATTTTCTAGAGATAACAAAGAGACTTTTTTTTTTTTTTTTTTTTTTTTTTTTAAGGGAGTCAAAAAGAAATCATTGCGGTAGAGGCTGGCTTTGGGTTGGAAGTGACATGGTTGTGTCCACACTTGGGCCTATAAACTTGTTGCTGCCTCTAAATGTGTTAGTTGAGTTGGAAACAGGACCAGGACAGGTGTGTGATGGAATCTCTCCATTGAAATTGCTGCCACATTTATGAGTGTGCTACAGCATCATTACCAAGTACACAGGCTGAGTATTCTATATCATTACCAAATACACAGATTGAGTGTGCTACAGAATTGTTACAAAAATACACAAGAGTGAGATGAGCTGTCCAGAGTGTTCATTTCTGAAGATCTAAAAGCTTGTTACAGTTTCTAATCCACAAGGGCACCTGTAACAACATGCCATAGATATGTCTTTATTTTCAGACTGTGCAGAAGGTAGCTCAAGATGCTAACCTGGTTAGTTTCTGGGGAGGGCTCTTCTGAGCTCACGAATGGCTGCTTTCCTGCTCTGTCCTCACAGGAAAAAAGAGACAGGTGAGCCTCTGGTGTCAATTCTTAGTAAGACACTTTACATCGAAACTTAGTTATTTTCTAAATTCCATCACCATCACCCTGGCAGCCGACACCTCAAGACAGGAATTTTCTCAGGGCACAGTTCAATCCACAGCAGCTCATAGCTAAAATCGGATTTTTTTTTAAACCATCAAAAACAAGCGATTTGTCAGAAATCCATTCTCTAGACTATGAAATGACAGACTTTTTCTCTAAAAGGAACTGTGGCATACCTTAAGCTTCACAACCTATATGGATTCCATTAGGATGACTCACTTCTAACAATATAGCACAAAAAACACAAAGGTAATATGCAAACAAATGGACATGCATTTTGTCTTATGTCTTACAAAGTTTCACGCGGGCCTCCTGTGAGCGTTGAACTACCCTAGTGTGCTTCCCATGTGGCCTCTATCTCAGAGCCTCTCAGTAGCCAATAGTTACACAAGGTGAGGTATGGGTCCCATGAGTCCCTCCCTGATCCAGGCTTGGCTAGTGACAGGCTCAGTCTTGTGGAGAATGGGGCAGGCAGCTGTAACTGCTACAAGGTCACAACTGCCATGGCTGTCCAGACTACTCTTCCGTAGCCCTTCTCTTTGTTTTCTGACTCTCATATTCTTTCTTCCTCAATCCTTTTAACCATTGGTGACTAACTTTTCTACCATCACAGAGCCTTCATCTAGTAGCTGATGGAAACAGAAGCAGACACCCACAGCTAAACACTGGGCTGAACTGGAATCCAGATGCAAAGAGGGAGGAGTGATAAGAAAATGGGGACAAGACCAGGCTACAGAAATCCACAGAGACAGCTGACCTGAGCAAGGAGGAGCTGATGAGCCCCAGACTGAAAGCTGGGAAACCAGCATTGTACCGACTCAGACCCCCTGAACATGGGTCTCAGTTAGAAGGCCTGGGCAGTCTTAGGGACCTCTGACAGTGGACCCAGGATGTCACCAATCTCATTATCAGGGAAGGGCATTTAAGGTAGCCTTTCCACTGTTGCTCATATTGTTAGTTGAGGTCATCCTTATAGGTCTCTGGACATTTCTCTAGAGTCAGTTTTCTCTTCAAACCAATAATGGCTCCCTCTTTTATGGTATCTCTCACTGTAAAGGGAGACCCACAATTAAGGAATTGCCCCTATCAGACCAGGCTATGGGCATGTCTGTGGGGCATTTTCTTAATTGATGACTCATGAGGGAGGACCCAGTCCACTGTAGATGGTGTCACTGCTGGGCAAAGGATCCTGGGTTCTATAAGAAAGCAGCCTGAGCAAATCATGAGAAGCAAGCCAGTAATTGGCACTCCTCTGTGGTTGGGGTGTATAAGCCAAACAAACCCTTCCTTTCCAGGTTCTTAGGTAAGATAAACAAGGTGTTGTGCTATGTGCTTGTCTTCGAGCTCCCAAACACATAATCTCACTATAGTCCAGGCTCACAGTTTTCTGACTTTTGTTGGATTTCTATTGCTTAAAACACTCAAGTGCACACTGTCAATGAGCTCAATAATGTCACCGAGCACAAGAAATTGTAATGTGCTGATTTACAGAGAATTTACATTTTATTAGCTTTTTTTCAGACATAATGTTATAATGCAATTGGTTGTGGGTTTAGTAGGTTTCTTTAAAATTTTTATTTTAATTATGTGTAAGTGTATCCCTGTGTGGCTGTATGCACATGAGCTCATTGCAATAGAAAGCCAAAAGAGGGTGTTAAGACCCTCCAGAGTCAGAATTGTGGCTCCAGTGTGAATGCTGGCATTAGAACCCCAGAGCCAGGATCATGAGTCCCCAGTGCAAGTTTGGGAACTGCACTGTACATAGCAAGAACACTATGTACGTTTAATGGCTGAATCAATGTCAATGAATTGTGTGTGTGTGTGTGTGTGTGTGTGTGTGTCTGTGTGTGGGTATGTGTATGTCTGTACATGTGTGTGTGTATGGGTATGTGTGTCTGTGTGTGTTCCTGTGTATGGGTGTGTCTGTGTGTCTGTATGCACCTGTGTTTGTATGTCTCTCTGTGTGTGTGTGTGTGTGTGTGTGTGTGTGTATTTAAACAGAAGCCCACATAAACAGCATCACACATTGGTTGCTTCTCAGAGACCATGGCTAGACACTCAGAAGCAGAGTTCTGTACTGCCCCTAGGAGCCCAAACCAGTGTCTACTACTTCATTGTTGGCAGCATCTTCATTCACAGCATGGCAGCCCTAAGTGAGGAGAATCAACTGTGGTGTTTTGTTTTTTATAACAGTCTTCAGAAACCCAAACAAGCCTTTTTGAACTTACCCAGAGCCTTGCAGGCTTCTTGGATGAGCTTAATGGTGATGACATCATCATACACGGTGTAGGTCATGAAGGCATCTTGTACTTCTGCAGACACCCTGAAAGATGCATCAAATGCAATTGAGCATTGGTCCATAGAGTTCAGTCCCAGGACAGTTGCTGGCCCAGCAATGTGTGGTAAGCAAGCACTCTATTCAGGGCCCTAAGCACTGTGACTGTGTGGGCATTGACTCCTGCCAAGCCCGTCCTCTGGACCCCAGTTTGAGCCTGAATAGGCTCTGAGTTCTTCAACTGAGACAAGGATGATTATCTACCCACCACCACCCCTGCTGGACTCCTTGAGGGTGGCTATGATCATTTGCCCTTTATTTTTGTATCCCAGAAAATGGCACTGGGCCTGGCACCCACATTCTGAAGATCCTCAAACAGACCAGGGGTTCATGTGCCTGCAGTTGACTCTCTGGATTTCCTTCTGCCTATAGGGTTCCTGGTTTGGGTCCAATGGTTTCTAAGAATTAGCATGTGCAGCTGTAACAGATGACGAGGCCAGGGCAGATGTGGAGTGCTACTGCCTCGCAAAATGGGGTATTCTCCATTGTGTGGGAGTGACCTCTTCATTCATGCCACAGGGTGCCTTAGGGACCAGAAAATAACAGGCAAGGCCATAGTCTCAGATGAAGGCTCTAAGGGAGGTGTGTGACTCCTGGCCCCTTTGGAGTATGATCTGTGGGGCTGTGGCCCTCCCCACCTCACCTCAGCTCACTGTCCAGGCCACACAGCCTCTTCTTTCCTGCAGGCTGAACTAATGGTACTGTAGTCGTGAATATTTTTCTGGGTTTGTATACATGCTGCACATTGCTTGGGTAGCAAATACGATGACCACTAGGATTTCCAGTCCTGTACTGGACTCTAACTCTGCATGTAGCAGTCATATTGGGACACATAAGCTTTCAAACTGCTTTGGGGAAACAATATGTTTGCCAATAGCTGATTTTAAAAATAAACAAATTGACATCTTCAATGAGATAGCAGAACTTCTGCTAAGAAGGGGGAGAGAAAAAACAACAATGGAAGACACCTCAGAGAGACCGGGACTTGAGAGAGCAAGTGGTGAGAGACATGAAGAGGAGTCTCATCATGTAACAAGAATGCCAGTCATTCAGGGGCTCACCTCCACACATGCAGGGGCTCACCTCCACACATGCAGGGCCTCACCTCCACACATGCAGGGCCTCACCTCCACACATGCAGGGGCTCACCTCCACACATGCAGGGCCTCACCTCCACACATGCAGGGGCTCACCTCCACACATGCAGGGCCTCACCTCCACACATGCAGGGCCTCACCTCCACACATGCAGGGCCTCACCTCCACACATGCAGGGGCTCACCTCCACACATGCAGGGCCTCACCTCTATAAACCAAGACCTCTCTACATCAAGTGCTCACCTTCACACATTAAAGGACTCAACTACACACAACTACACACACGCACGTGCACACACACACATACACACACACACACACAGCTCACATCTGTACTCAATAGCAATTGAGTAATTGATATTCCATCAGAACATCAAAGGTTCCTTATTAGTGAATAACACCTCGTGTTATTCAAACTATCTATGTGGCAAGCCAGTGGTGACTGCTTAGTTCCAAGTTCTTTCTAAGAATCTCTGCTTTGGTTATTCTGAGATACATGAATTTTTATGTACCTACCCCTCTCCAAGCTCTGAGGCACCTGCAGTACCTAAGCATGTACCATTCCTGAGACACCTATGAATGGAATCACCCTGTGATGCTTCCTACATCACCAAGCCTGAAGATTGGGTGTGTGACCCTTGATTTAATATTTCCAATATCTGACATTGTCCCTGGCATACAAAAGAAGTCTGATGAACACTTAAAAGAGAAAATTTCAGATTATTTTTGAGATGGGGGGTCTCATGTAACTCAGGGTGGCCTCAAACTCAATATATAGCTAAACATGACCTTGAACTTCCTACCCTCCTGTCTGTACCTCCTGCATAGTAGGGTTATAAGTATGTGCCTCCCTGCCTCGTTTTATGTGGTGCTAGGGATGGACCCATGGCTTCCTGCATGCTGGCCCACTAAGCTACAGGGCCATCTCAGTTTCAGAAATTTTGATAAAGGATACAAATTAACAGAGGTTCATAGAGCCGTCTGGGAGTCAGCTCTGCCCCCAACACACTCTTGCTGACTGATGGGCAAATCTCACTGTTCATTCATTTCTTTTCACAATAGGACTAGAGAAGGAGGTTGTGGTACCTGGTCCTCCACCAGCCACTGGCAATGTGTACCTGACCTCTGATACACTGAAAAAGTTGCTGACACATAAAGCAGCAGGAGTTTTACAAATGTGGCCTCTGGTGTCCCTGCATGCATCTCAGGTGATCTTAGAGGACTGTAAAGTAAAATGACTTCACAGGAAGATGAAACGCCACTTGCCCTTTCCACTGGCTGGGATTTGAGTTGATGGCACAATTGCATGCCTGTGGGTAAAGCTGTCGGTGCCCATCATGAATCAGTTAGGTGAACCAAGCAACTGCATTCTTCCTCACATTCTTTTCGGTGCATTCTCCTATATGTGCAGGGTGTGGGGCTGATTTCTGTACACATTTTACTGGTGGAGGCAGGAAGACTATCCATTTTATTAAGCTGAAGCCCTTTGTGTATCCACATCGTGAGAACATGGTGTACAATGAAATGGAAAGCATATGGATACACAAAGATTTTCAGCTGCACACAGGAGTGTCGCAGGCACCCTCAGGACAGGCACTGATGTGACAGTGACAGCCACCTTCAGGAAAGGCACTGATGTCACAGCCCTAGGAGAGGCCAGTTAGCCACTTTTCCCTAGAACACCATTTTTGCTTGAAAGAACTATTGAGAAGTAGGTGAATTATAGTTAGTTGGACTTAGCTATTTGGCAGATATTTTTTAAAAAACACAAGAAACAAGTGTTACTTTTCCCCAAATCCACTCCAGCATTTATATTCTTCTTTTGTTTAAAATCTTATCCATTCAGACTGGGGTAAGACAAAATTTCCAAGTAGTTGTTTAGTTAGTAGTAGAAGTTGGTGTGAAGATTCTTCAGAAAGCTGAAACTAGATTTACCACATGTCCCAGTCATATCACTCTTGGGAACACCCAAATGATTCCACATCTTTTTATAGAAATACCAGTTCATCTATATTCATTACCACCCTAGTCACAAGAGCCCAGAAATGGAAACACTCTAGATGCCCATCAACCGATGAATGAATAACGAAAATGGGGGACACTTACAGAATGGAATATTATCCCACCATTAAGAAAAATGGAATTATGGAGTTCACAAGTGAATGGATGGAGTTGGAGTAGCCATCCAGAGTGAGTTAACCCAGACCAGAAAGACACATATCGAATGCTTCACTTGTGGATGTTAGCTTTGAATCTCCATTTAGAACAGGAAATTAGTTAGGAGACCTGGGGATGAGGGCTTTCAAGATAGAGGAGATAGAATGAAGCAGTATAAAGGTTTAAAGAGGAATTCCATTGAAGAGGAAGGACTAACCCAGTGCAGGGCATGGGAGATTGGGACAGATGAAATACAGGAAGGGAAAATACCAAAGAAACTTTGAAAAAGCCATATGGAAAAAGCCTACTACCATAGGAGCTTCCTAAAATATATACATACACATATAGAAAAAGAGTTTAAATGGAGCAATCCTACTAGACCCCACAAGCCTAAATTAAAAATCCTAATGTCGGGAGTGGGTTATCTCTTTTGTGGCTCTTTAGCAGTAAGGTCTCATTGATCCACAAACATTATTGGCTTCTGCCTGGTGGTAAAACTCTATTGCTGAAGATACTACATGCATGAGTCATAGAACATAGCAAAATCAAGCTGATACATACCTGAAAGCTTCATCTCTGCTGGATAGTTTTCAAGGCATTCTAAGGTGCTAGGCATGCTATCAGTTTTACCCAGTAAGATACAATAATGACTAACTCAGCAAGACACACCCACCAGTGTAACAGTGGCAAGAACATTATGGGAGGCTCAGGGGTTAGTAACCCTTGCTCACTAGAAAGAAATGCCAGTGCCTTCCTGTCTTCTACATGTGTGGATATTCTGGTCTCTAAGAACCTTCTCTCCTTCTGCCTTCCATCAGACAGCACATGTGTGGTTCTGCAATCACACTAGTTGCCTCCCGCCAACCTCAGCTCACCCCAGACCTTCTGCACTTGCTGCCCCCCCCTTTCTGGAGCACACACACTTCCCTGACCCAGGGCTGCCTCCTTCCTTCCAGCTCATAGATTCCATCCACATGAGGACTGTTCCTAACCCCCACAGAGAATCAGCCATCTTTTGTCAGCTTCTTTCAAATGCTTTCTTTATACAGCCCTTTGAACAAGAGGTTTTGTTTATTTACTTGCTCACTGTCTGTTCCTCACACTAGAATCCATTCCCTGACGCAGTCATTGTGTCTTCTCTTCACCACACTCTCCTCTACTCAGCACATGCTTGGATCTGGACAGGCACCTGCCTCGTAGGGGAAGTGGCCCAACTCAAACAGCCAGTGAGCAATCTGGGCACAACGTGGAGGTGAACCTCATCCCAAAGGTCCCAGTCTTCCCAGCCTATTAGTGGCCCCCGCTGTTGAGATTTAAGCCAGGAGGTTGCAAAAGGGCGGCTCAGAATTAGAAACCTATAAATCTAGACTATGTGAGAGGGAAATCAGCAAGGCAAGCAGAGGAGTACACACATCTGTTTCTGATTATTTCATATAAAATAAAATCTATGTCATAACGTCTGGAGACATAGTTCACTTTGCCTAATCATTTCTTCTTAAATTTTGTATGGGAATTGATGGCTTTTTCCCCCCCTTTCAGCAAAAATTCTGCTTTAAAAGCACTAGGGAATTTGTTATTTAAACATATAGCCCCAAGTAGATCCTGTTGTACAGCAAATAATCTTGGCTTAGTTTCAATTTATGTTTATAAGCTGAGTTTTTTGTACCATGGAGTTCCTTTTAATAGTATTCCCTAAATGAATCTAGTTTCATAGCTAAGCTGTGCTTACTGGGTAGACCTCACTCTGGGCTTTTCCAGTCACATAAATGTCTAGTTAGTACTGACCATATGAAGACCTCAAGTCTAGATTAAACAGACACTCAAGCCAAAACCTGGTGACACAAACCCTGGATGTTGTCTCCCTAGGTCCTCTGCTCCTGGTGGTCTTCCTTTAATCCCCCTGCAAACTTGTGTTCTGTTTTGGTAATTTTTTATCATTGCTGTGATCAGATGCCCAACAAGATGCAGCTTATCCTCCATCATAGTTGGAAAGACACAATCCACCATAGCAGGGAAGGCATGGCAATAGGAACTTGCTCACATTTGGGTAAAGCAGGAAGCAGAGGGAGATGAATGGAGATGTTTAGGCCACATATCCCTTTCCCCTTTTTATTCAGTCATTGCCTCTATCCCAGGAAACAGCACTGCCCATGTTCAGTGTGGGGTTTCTATCAGCTAACCCTCTCTGGAAACACACTCATAGATACACCCAAAAGTGCCTCAGTCAGGCCCTATGCATTCTGTTGTCAATCATCTGACTATCCCATGCTTCCCTTTTAATTTCCTGTATCACTTGGAGTCTATGGCTTCCTAATGTTGGGGAATGCTGAAACCTGTCCACTTAGAGTTGTGTGGGAGAAAGATGGCACAAAGAAATGGCACGATCCTTTTAGTGAGGTCAGACCAAGAGTCAAAGATTTAGGGGAAAGGGGCAAGTGGCTCATGAACACACAGGTCCAAGCATCATTGCCTCAAGTCTGGTCCAGGAACTTGCACACCCTACAGTCCCTCCACCTCCCAGTTTCAAGGTTCATGTCTTGAAAATAAGCTGACAGCAAACCACAACTTCTATGGCAGCAGCCAGTGTTTGCTGGGTGCTTGCTGCAGGCTGGGCATCTGACTTACACATCTCATTCAAGACTGCAACAACCCTATGACCTTTGACCCTCCAGTGACTATAGCCCTGGACCCACTGCTATAAATACTCACAGCCAGATGTAGTGACTTCTGGGACTAATAGATGGCTTCTCACAAAGGTTCCCCACTCTACTCAGTGACCACCTCCCAGCCTTCATGAGTTTGCTCTCCATCTTCCCCTTAGGGCTGATAGCCCAAGGAATAGATCTGGGAGATAGGTGGGCATAGAGTTTTAGGTGACTGATGACTGTTCATTCTATGTCAGGACAACGGTCTCAGTGTCCCATGGGACATAGACTTAGGATGTCCTGCTTTCTGAATTCCAGATCTTTATGTAAGGTCTATGCACATGGTGAAATCAGCTGGGTAACTAACTTTTTGGAGTCACTAGCCCTGCAGTGTTTCTGCAACACCAAAGCAAAGGAGGTCAGTAAATGTGCACTTATGGAGATGCCCTCTGCTTTCACCCAGAGACGTGTCATGGGTTAGAAGAGGATGTTTGCCATGACCAACTTCGCTTTCGTTCTGGAGGCAGCTGGACTAGTGGGCCTGTTTAGTGTGTAGCCTCCAACAAGGGCCTTTCTGGAGCTCAGTTTCCTTCTCAGGGAAGGAAAGCAACAATTTGCTTTACAAGCTTCTTGCTAGGCTTGGTAAAAAGATGTCTGATGCAAAGTGAGTCCTCAGCAGAAGAGAGTGCTCCCTCCTGTGTTCCCACCACACACCCCTCTCCATCACATGCCACCTACAAACAAAGGCTCAGTCTTCCAGGCAGTACTCCCCAGGGAAGTACTTTTGGGGAAAAGGAGCCCCTAAGGGGCTGGAGACACAGTTCAAGAGTTAGGAACACCTGCTTCTCTTTTGGGGAACCTGGGCTTGGTTTCCAATGTCCACACTGGAAGGCTCACAGCCACCTATAATCCCAACGTCAGGGGACCAACGCCCTTTTCTTGCCTCTACACGTGACCACCAACATGTACTCACTCCCACAGTGGAAGGCAAAACTGACACTGATATCTGTGACCTGGTCCAGTCTCTGACTTGCAGTTTTGTGTCAGCCAAGTCACTTAAACTCTTTAAGCCTCAGGGTTTTTGTTGTTGTTGTTGTTCTCTCTCTCTCCCTCTCTCTCTCTCTCTCTCTCTCTCTCTCTCTCTCTCTCTCTCTCTCTCTCTCCCTCCCTCTCTCTCTCTGTGTGTGTGTGTGTGTGTGCGTGTGTGTGTGAAGAGATTATGATTGCTATGGTTTGGATCTGGAAAATCCTTCAAAGACAACAATGAAGATAACCACAGAGCCCAGGGTGTGGGGTTAATTTTGTTTGTAGCACAATTTGACAGTTTACCTTAGCGACTCTTTGCAAGCATCACCTGTAGTGGTACAAATTTTGTCACTCTATTTGTTGGTTGATTTGTTTTTGACACCCGAAGAATTTAATTTTTAATTTATTTCATATAACTATATGGTGATAGCATATCTTTCTTCACATGTATGTGCATATGTGTGCTGCAGGACAAGATTATATACTTTTCAGAGAACAGATTTTCACAAGCTGGCCTCCAATGTCAAAGCCTGTGTCCATCTCCATAGCTTTTGGTTCATGGGCTGCACTGACAGTCTGGGCCAAAGGGCAAGTTCCCACTTTTCTGTTACTTAGCCAGAATTGGCTATTATCATGTAAACATTTTAGAGATTTAATAAACAAAGCTGTGCCTAAGTGTCTTAATTTATCTGTTATTGATTAACTGAAGAAGCCAATCATCTCTCATATTTTTGCATTCATTTCTCTTCTATGGGACTAAGTGATTTCTGAGAGCATCCAGACCCAAATTTGTAACACTGGAAGCTTGGGGCCAGGAAGATTACAGAAATCAAGTGGGGGACTGTTTGTAAATGTAAATGACAGAAAATCAAGAAAAGACAAACAAACAAACAAACTACTGTGAAGCCAGGAAGGGAGAACTAAGAATTATCTAAAGAACATATAAGGAAGGAGCTATGTCTTAGTGTTAGCATGCTTGCCTGGCACACTCAAGACTCTGGGTTCAATTCCTAGTCTTTCCCTCTCTCCCTCTCCCCTTCTCCCTCTCCTTCTTCTTCCTCCACACTATTTACTCTCACCTCCGTGATTATAAACAACAAAGGAGTGGGTGTAGGACAGTGCTAAGGACCAAGCATGGTCCAAGGCCCTAAGTTTCATCTCTATCATTGGGAGATGGATGGAGAGAGACAGAGACATAAATAGAAAGAGACACAGAGAAAGTGCAAATGGAAGTTCATTCATGAAATGCATGCTAAAACTATGCACATTCTTATTAACATCCCAGGGATCTATTTTAAGGCTTATTTTAGGAATAGGGATGATATGAGGGGCTGGGAAGGCGCCTCAGTCAGTAGAGTGTTTGTCACACAAGCATGAGAACTTAAGCTTGGGTCCCTAACACCCACGTATAGCAGGCCATTATGATACATGGCAGTAACCCCAGCACAGGGATTGGGGGAAGACAGAGGCGGACAGATCCCTACAACCTGTCAGCCACCAGTCTAGCAAAATCAGTGAGCTCCAGGTTCAGTGAGATACTTGAGCTCAAAAAATATCGTGGAAATTGAGAAAGACACCTGTTGGACCTCTGACCTCTATGTGCACACAAACACACATGCACCATCATACTCACATGTACACATACATGGACGTGGATGCACAAAACCCAAATGTGGTTTAAGGAATCTTTTCTGAGTTCAGCTGGTGTGTTTAGGGCACTAGAGCTGGTCTCCAAGTCACTAATCCTCGCTGAGAATTAGAATAGTACAGTTATCCACCCAACTAATTCTCTCATCAAGAAGTCAGTAAAATACTGGAACCCTTTAAAACAAAAGAAAACCAACAGCAGACCGCATGGAAACTCTCGGGATATTTCACCTTTCTTTTGATGCACTTACTTTAGTTTTTCCCATGTCTCTTCACCAAATTTCTCTGTTACAAGGGACTGCAGGCATGTGTTGATGAATCCATACTAGAACACAAAAGGAGGGAAAATCTGAAGAATGAAGCACGCCACCCAAGACCTAGCCTTCCTGTGGGTGTCTTTGGAGCTATGCATGGCCCTTGGGAGCTGACCGAGGCTTTTCCCTCTAGTCACTGAGTACTATCACCCTTTCCTGGTGGATGGAAAGCTGAGCATCCAGAGGCTGGTGGTGTGCATACAGGGACCCTGTGTGCGTAGATGAGAGGTCAAAGTTTCATGTACGGTATTGTCTTCAATCACTTCAGACAGAGGGCTCTCACTGAACTTGGAGGTCACTGAATGACTGGACTACCTGCCCGGCAAGCTCTAGAGATTGCCCAGTCTCCACTTCCAAGTGCTAGAATTACAGGTAACACACCCGCATGCCCCATACGCACCAGATTTTTACACAGGGGCTGGAGATCTGAGCTCAGGACCTTATGCTTTGTTTAGCCAGTAATTTGTCAACTGAACCAGCTTCCCGGCCCGTGACAGAGGTTTTAAAGCGAAAGGACTCAGGGCAGCAGTGCAAAGGGGGACACTGGTGTAGTTGTACCCTGGAAACAGACCTCAATCCTGCTGTAGTTCCAACTCCCACAACAGTGTCATGTTCACCCTTTCCCCACCCCCAGCCCCCGATGTCCCCTCCTCACCTGAGCCTGACTCCAACGCACTCATATATGTAACGTGTAAGGTTCAGTATTGTGTCCACTCCTCTGACCCTGGCTCATCCCAAAGCCTGCTGTCGTTATTCCCCAAGCTCAGCAGGCTCCTACAATGGATAGGGTCCCTCTCCTTCCTTTACTAAACCATAAGCTCCATAAGGTGAAGATACATGAGTCATTTACCTATATTTTGATCAAAGTGCCAAGACAGAACCTGACACACAGCAGGTATTTAATAAACACACTAAATATATAAACACCCAATTGAAGCCTCGAGTCTGAACTCCTGGAAATCCATAATTATCCCCAGATATTTCAAATCAATCCAGGTTAACAAAAATCACAATTATTTGTCTTTTTGATCTTTACAAAAAATGTGACATCGAATAAGAGCATCATACCCACTATCTTCACCCCAATGGCCATGGACACCTACCAGTGTACGGCAAGGGAAACTGAGGCTCGGGGGAGTCAGACAGTTGCTTATCATGCTCTCAGCTCTGGTTGGGGCTCAGGGCCCAGTGCTGACCTCGCCTGCACAAAGCCTCAGAGCCATGAAAAGAAAAAGCTGAGTGGAGTGTAGGCAGGTTCTGCACCTTTGCTGCCGACAAGAGATGTTGCACTGGGCAAAGCAGAGAACTGACAGGTGCAGAGTATGCCAGAGAGCTGCTGCTCCTCAATCTGCAGAGAATTCTCTTAGCACACCTTCATCATCCCATCACAGACCATTCAAGGACTTTGTAGAAACGGCCAAGCATCACAGGCCAGCCCTGGATTTCTCTGGAATTTGCTGCCAGCACTGCTTTCCAGCCAGATTAACAAGCCAGCAGGGACTCTCACTGTCCATGGCCTTCCCGTCTTTCTTTCTGAGGGAACTTGGGCACACACGTAAAAGGCTCATGTTTGGAGTGTTGAGTGTCTGAAAATGGTGAGGGCTAATGAAACTTTCCTCCAAGTATCTGTGTCAGCCATCTTTTGACTGGAGTATATGCTCCATGCTGTATGTTATACAGCCTTAGTGAGGCCAGGGTATGCCAGAGCTTAGAAGGGAAAGGCTTGGGGTCTAGAGCCCTGTGGGTTTCTGTCTGTTTTTACAACTGTGTGTCTGGGGGTGAACTGGGAGAGTGTCACAGAGGTGAACCCAGACTGCTCCGTGAACTAGCTGGAAATGATGGGAGCATATGGGGGACCATTGTTAGGTTGTAAATTAATGGTTTTGGAGTCCACCAAAGAAGGTGGTGTTTGACATTGGACCTTCCCCCAATCTCAGAATAGACATCAGAACAGTCCTTCCTCCTGGAGTTAAGTGACAGGATAGATAGAAGCACACGGCAACTCTAAGTGCCAAGAGCCATGCTTCCCAGAGATCATGCACTGAAGGGCTTGGAATGTAGCAGTCTGTAGGGTTCCTGCCTAGCATGCACTAGAGCTGTGGGTTTGGTCTTCAGCCCCACAGCAACAGGGCATGGTGGTTCAAAACTGTCATTCCAGCACTCTGGAGGTGTGAGGAGGAGGGGCTGGAAGTTCAAGGGCATCCATGGGTGAAGTCAAGCCTGGACTACAGGAGATTCTGTCTCAAGGGTAAGTAATTTACCTTTCAAATCTAAAGTGTGGTCTAGTATACAGTATCTGCTATTGCAAAACCAGCAGGTGGGAAGGATCTGGGAAGAGATGAGGGATGGGAAACCATGATCACAATATGTTGTGTGAATTTTCAATAAAAAAAAAAAAACCTTTATTTTTTATTTGTATTCTTGAGACAGAATTTCTTGTAGTGTTCGAGGATAGCCTTAACTCACTATGTAGCCGAGGCTGACCTTGAACTTTCAACCCTTCCACCTACCTTCTGAGTGTTCCTGTTAGATGTACAGGCCTTCTTTTTGAGGTGCTAAGAACCAAAACTGGGGGGTTGTGTATGCTAGGCAAACCCTGAACCAAGGTGCTTCACAGCCCTGGTACCCTTATTCTAATGGAGGGGTGGTTTTTGTTGTTTATTTGGTTGTTGTTGTTGTTTTGATTTTTGGGGTTTTTTGTTTTAAGATTTTTAATAAAAATCATAGGATTATACTTTAGAATAAAACTGTAAGAGGAAAAAACATTAAAGACAATGACTCTTTAAGAAGAGAACATTCCTGTTTACATACTGCTGATGCTGATGCCATGCACCTGCTGACCCCATGCCATGCACCTGCTGACCCCATGCCATGCACCAATTCTTGACATTTTTAATGTATTACATGTCACACACAAATATACACACATGCATGTATCTTGTTACAGTCTAAATGAGTCACAGGATTACAAGCCTTCAGAAAGGCTGTGGGAAGGCCAGTGCTCTTTCCTGGGTGACCCATCTGGCTTCACTTGCTGACATCTTACTTAACTGAAACACCTTTCAGTGTTAAGGAGTCCCCCTCCTACAGTGCAGTCAAGGTTAGCTAAGGTAGAGAGCTGAAAGCCAACCTTAAGTTGGGTGTTGTGTGTTTGCTTTGCTAATGTCCTCTTAGCTCTTCCAGACCCCATCTTGCATTTGCTTCTGCTGTCCCACTCTGTGACGTGGCTGGTGTGCTTCCCACTGAACACAGTGTACAGTAGTGTCTGCTAGAATTCTCTACTCTAAGCCTCCAGTGCTTTCCTCGTAATTTCTAAGTATTTGCTAAAGGTAGTTATGCAAATATCCCATTTATGCTGAAAACCTGCCCCTCCTCCTTCTAGCTCCTGGCAGACTCTGCTTGTGGCAGCTACTACCATGTGATCAAATAGCGATTTCCTCTTTCTCCCATTTCTGTTTGCTTTATGATTCTCCTGGAAGAAAGAATTGACTTGTTGTTGTTGTTATAATAAGATATCCAGGATCAGTGGACACACAGAACTTGAAGATGCAGAGTGATGCTGCAACTACACACAGTGACAAAGAGCCACGTTATAGCTTAACCTTGAAAAGTAATGGACTTAGGAAGGTAAACAGTGTTTATATGACATAAAGCTTGTTTGACTTTTACCTTGATATTCACTTGAACCTGCAATCAGTTTTCTTTTGAAATTCCAATCTAGACTTTTAAAAACTATCTAGAGTCATATTACTTTCATGATCATTTTTGTCAAAATCTTGAGTAAAGTTGCCTACACCTGGGACCAGGAAGGCTCTGCCGCAGCAGCAAAGAGGCCACTGGGCGCTGCTTACCATGATGTCCGGCAATGTATCTCCAGACCCGAGATGCACACACCCGATGCCCCAGCTGGCTTCCTGAGTCTTTAGAAGCTGTTTTCCAGCAATCAAGATATTCCACAGTGAAGTTAGGAACTAACCATGGCCTTCTGATGAACCCTTCCCAGTGGGTTAAAAAAAAAAAAAAAAAAGGCTAGGCTAGGCTTTCTCTGCTGGGAACAAGTGAGACCTGCCACCTGGCACCCCAGGGAGCGCACATCTCCAGTGCTAAGCTCTGGGGAGTTAAGTGTGAAGCCTGAAGCATTCCCCTGAGGTGTCAGCACAACAGACTGTGCCATATTGTCCCTATGGAAGTTGTAGCCCATACAAAAGAGACCAGCAGAATTCCAGGAGGCTGGCCATATTCCCTTGCCATGTGTGTCAAATTAGGGGACTTGAAGAAAAAAAAAAAAAAAAAAAAAAAAAAGAGTACCCAGTCCTGCCAGCCCCTCAAGGCTATGGTGACTCTTCCTATTGACTCTGCTGTCCATGCCCTTCCCTCTACACCGGGTCTCTCTCTCTCTCTCTCTCTCTCTCTCTCTCTCTCTCTCTCTCTCTCTCTCTCTCTCTCTCTCTCTCTCTGCTTTCTTTTGAGACAGGATCTTTATGTAGCCTTGGCTGTCCTGGAACTCACTATGTTGATGAGGCTGGCCGTGAACTCCACAGAGATCTTCCTGTCTTTGGCTCCAGAGTCTTGGAATCAAAGGTGTCCCTGGTTCATTCTGAGAAACAGATGCAGAAGTTCCTGCCTGCTGTCTGACAAATCCCCTTTTCACACTGCATTTTGAGACCTGAGGAGACTAGGGGTTCAGAGCAGCAGAACTGTTTCTGGAAGCCAGGTCACAAGTGCATTCCCAGAACCCTGAACTTGGCTTCAAGAGCACCCCTATACTCCTCAGGAAGGCTGCCTCGTACAGGAGATTGTTTACCGGGAGGCCTCTGATTAAACTTCTTTGGATGACATCCAAGAAATGCCTGCCTCGACCAGCACTTGACCCCATAATGCTATCAATGTGGAGTCTGCTGGGTCCTGGAAATGTTATTCTCCCGCTGAATCACAGCTATGTTAAGGGTCCATGTAAGCTGTCTGAAGTCTACTTCCTGAGCCACTAACCAGATCCCGAGAGTGTCGCTTGCGGCCGTTCCAACAGCCCTGGCAGCTGTGGTGCAAACATAAGAGGATGAATAAATAAATGCAATAAACAGAAGGAAGAGGGTTGCTAGGCCCTCCTAGATACACAGTGTGGAGGCCCAAGGCAGCCACTAAAATGAGACTCACAGTTAAGACAGCGTCTTGTGACCTTGACCCTGAGGAGGCTGAAATGGTTCACTGGTGTCTGTCCAGATACACCATGGATCCTGATGCTCTCCTGAAGTCACCTGGCCATCATTCCCAGGAGCTCCAGCTTGGCAAAGGGGACCCCTCCCATTCTCCTCTCCAGAGCCCTCTCCCACCCAGCTGCAGGTCCCTTAGGACACTTTCCTGCTGTCTCCATCATTGACCTTCTCCAGCTCCTCCTTCCCCTCTCTACCCACTCCATCTCCTCTATGGAGAGGCCAGACCCTCAGAGATACTAGGAAGAAGCCCTCTCTTCATCCCAAAAGGGTGATTTTGCATATTTGCAAAAGCCAGAAGACCTCATGCTGATCCTGTGTGGAGGAGACATGCGGTCATGAGAAACAGGCCCCAGAGTAGATGATTTCCATAATTACACTACCCAAACCCTTCCCACCACATTCAGCTGACAGCTCTTTCGGCCCTGCCAAATGGGCTTACTCTGGTTCCCCCTTGCAGCCTGCAACCCCCACTCTGTGTTTTCAATCACACACAAATGCTCACACTTCACAATAAGTAAATGGTTTAAAAGAAATAACAACTCCCCCTTTCTTTGTCATGAAGCAGATGGTAGGTCTCAGGAACTTGGTGAAAATTAGGCTTTCTGATTTTCTAATAAATTTTAGCATCTCACACAAAAAGCACAAGCTCATTTTCATTCTGATGGTAAGTACCATATGGCCCATCATCCATGGAGCGAGGCAGCTTCATAACCAGAGTAATGTGGAAGGGAGGGGCTTCCTTGCGAGGCCAGTGTGTATGAACCAATTGGATTCGAGGGTGAATGTCATTTGATAACAATATTGTATATGGCAGAGGACTAATTATCCCTCTTTTATGGTATGTGTTAATTTTCTCTTCCAGTTTCCCTAATTACAACTGCCACCCTAAGGACGACTCTTTGTAAATACTCTGTAAACATTTGAAAAGACACAGACAGTGTGTGCATGAAGAAAGCCGTCCCTGGGCTTCGAAGCCTTCTGGAAGATTAGCTGACATTTCATATGTTTTCAGTTGCATAAGCAGCCAAGAAGGACTTGTTACTGTATGGAAAGGCCCCTTCCTTTCCCATGACATCATGGGCTTTCCTGTATATTCTAGGACCACTGTTTTGAGGGACAGTTTTTTTTTTTTTTTTTTTTTAATGGCTGCCTTTGTTGCTCTAAAGTGAACAGTCTCACGAATTCTGGCAAATGTATATGCTAGTGTTACTCACAGCCCAACACAGACAGAGTGTCTCTATTGTCAAGCAAAGTTCCCTTAGTGCCCCTTCTCTGCCAGCTGAGCCCCAGCTTCCACGATTCTCCTCCCTGTACTTGTAGATGGATTTGCTTGCTCCAGATTGCACACTCATGGGGTCATACAGCGTTTAGCTCATCTCCAGCACACTCAGTTCAGACATCCTTTCAATGAGACAGACATTTATAAACACAGCTTCATCACATGCACTTCTGATAAGATGTGCGCTGACCCAGCACAACAAGCTTATTGTCGTGTGCAATTAGAAACAGACTTTCATTGTTCATAGGACAGTGGTGAGAGGCCAGGTACCACACACTTTAGTAAGTAAGCTTTAGCTATTGTTGAAGGACATAAATGAGAGGGATGTTGCAGGGGCAAGAATCAGCGCAGAAAACCCTGCCCTGAGCTGGTCTTGATGACAGTTTTGCACGTACATCTTTGTAGTGTTGTGTGCTTCTTGACTTTCACCCCTGGTGCAGCTAACATCTCAAGGCGGCTTGGGTGGAGATGACTAGGCTGAAGGTACAGCTGGGGGCTAAAGCCAGAGTTTTGAGCCAGGCACCGTGGGACTGGGTGGTGGCCCCCACCAGTTGGGAACTTAGGGTGGGAGATTGTTCCACAAAAAACTGGGCAAGGTAACAAGAGTCTGTCTCAAAACCAAAAACAAGATGCGTCAGAAGATGGGTGTTGTGATTGGGGCTTTAATCTTACTACTAGGATGGCTGAGGCGGGGGAAATGGGGAGCTCAAATCAGAGAGACCCTGTCTCAAATACAAGTGAATGAATACAAACCAACAATGCGAACCAAGGCTCCAGATTTCTTTTGGTCCTGTTTCCATAGTTATTAATCCAGCATGCAGAAGCCAGGGGAACCAAGCAGTTCATTTCCCTGAATGTCCACAGCCACGGGATGCTTTAGACTGGTCATACTAGCTGGGGAAATCATCGTTTGTTTTTACCACACCCCTCACAGCCCTTGTTCAAGTGTACTCAGTTTGGTTTGGGATAAATCACACAAAACTGCCGGGTTTGCACCAATGGATATGAGCAATGTCTTTAGGTTCTGAGTAATTTCTTTTCCTGCTGACTGTGACCCTGTAAAGTTGGTCCTCTTATCGTTAACATACACCCCGAAAGATGAAAACAGAGGTGCAAAGAAATCAGATGCTTTCTTGAGGCTCCCACACTACCAGGGGTCACAGCTGGAATTGCCCCCTCTCTTTTACAGTAAAAGCTTAGGGAGACAGGTGACTTCCCTTCTGTAGCAAAGACAGCTGTCAGGTCTTATGGTCTGTTCTCCCTCATCTAGCGAAAAGAAAGGTGGAGTTTTTATTTGCATATAGATTTCAGCACCTAGCCCTTTCATTTTACATCAGAACCTTCCTTGGGACCCAGAAAACCAGCGAGAACGCGGCTTTTTCCATTGAGGCCACCTATTCATGAACCCAGATCGCCTCCCTGTGGACAAGCACCGACTCTACCCAGATCTCACTTCCTCTCGTCTCTTGCATTTAAATTTTCAGCCATAGGCAGTCCAGGAATTTTTGGGCGCCGAGTGCCACCATGTGGCCAAAGTGGTACATTTGGTCGATCTCCGGAAGGGATGCAGAGTGTGAGTCTAGCTCTGAAAAACTCAGCCTTGATCACCAAGGTAAACTGGGACTAGGATCTTCTCCAGGCCACGGTCCTGTAACTGCAGTGTTACATTCGGAAACAGGCTAGGGCGGTGGCGATAAACCTAAACGCATCATGACATGTAGAGACTCGCTCATTTAGGACCAAACTCAGCCTCGTTCAAGTTTAATTGAATCTGATAAGGTAGAACTCACCTGTAAATCAGATTACCTGACAGTCAACATTGCAAACAACTGGCTGTCATTAAATGTGAATGCTTTGAAAGCCCGGAAAATGTGAGCTGCAAAACTGACCTTGTCCATTGTGCCCGAGCCAATAACTTGACGTCCCAGGCATCCAGTCCTGATCATACATCAGGATCTGGGGCCTGGAGCAGCCTGGAACAGCCATCTGGAGAGGTGGTCACAGACATGTGACTTTGGAGAGCCCATTTCACAACAAGTTGGTACAGTGTCTTCCCCAAAGTCATTTTCTTGGTTCATTCTTCCCCCAGTGATGCTTACAGTATTCTTAGAAGTTTCCTTTCACCACTGTTTAAGTATGTGGCAAATTTAATATCCTAGGTGATAATTAGCCATCCTTCCTTATAACCAGTTGATGTCTCTAGGCCCTCCGTTTTAATAGGCAATGATCATTTAACTATCGCCATAACACTGTAAGTGAGAAGTGTTAAAGCCACATAGCTGAGGTGCTCTGAGATGCTCTGTCATCCCAGCACCAGTACAGCACAGGGAGTCTGGGCCCAGCCTCGGTCTTATCTCAGGCTGAAGATGATGATGATGACAATGGTGATGGTGACAATGTCAAAGATGACAATGAGCCAGGGTGGTGGCACACACTGCTAATCTTGGCACTTAGGATACCGATGCAAGATCTCTGAGTTCTAGGCCAGTCTGGTCTACATACTGAGGTCTAGATAGACCTACCAGAGCTACATAATGAAACCGTCTTTAAAAGGAGGAGAGGGGCTGGAAAGATTGTTCCACTTCCTGTTCTCCCAGAGGACGCAGTTTTGACTCCTAGTAGCTCCATCAGGTGGCTAATGACTACTTATATCTCCAGCTCCAGGGGAGCCCCGTGTCCTCTGCCTCCCTGGGCACCTGTGCATACATGGCATACATCAGCTCATGCAGGGACATATACATATGTATAACTGGATGCATATTTTATTTTATTTTGAGGCAGAATTTTTCCTTGTGGTCCTGGCTGTCCTGGAACTTACTCTGTAGACCAGGCTGGCCTCAAACTTGGAGATCTGCCTGCCTCTGCCTCTAATGTGCCATCACTGCCCAATATGAATATATAATTTAATTAAAAATAAAATAATAATAACAGAGCTAGGCATAATGATAATCCAAACATTTAGGAGATGATGATAATGATGAAGATGATGGTAAAGTATTATAATTATACTGGATTCATATTTGACACAAAAAGGTCTTATGTATCCTCAAGATACTCTCCCTCAAAGCTAAGTGCTTGCTGCTCACACATTCCTCTTGAATCCATCTTGTTCTGCTCCAGGGTCTGCTGCAGTCAGTGTTTGGCATCTCTGGTTGTTCTGCAGTATCTCATGAATGACGCTCTGAGCTCCCTCAAATGTGCCACACATCATGCTGCATAGATCAGGCATCATACAGCCTTGGCCCGAATCCCTCTTCCCCAAACCCTTTACACATTGACACCTCGTGCTGCCCACAGATCTTAGTGCCAGCACTTCACTTTGTTTATTTAGATAAGATGCAGACCAACCCATCACAAATTTGTGATTAGCATGGTTTCAGGCATTGAGGAGAAAGGGCTCGGACTAAGCTTTGCAGCTCCAAGTGAGACAGGGAGTGTTTGTGGGAGTGAGCACCCACTCAGGTTAGGTCACGGTGAGCACAGCCAAGAGGACCCCTGCTAGTGGGATGAGCATGGCCCTGGTGAGAGTAACTGCAAGCTGGCTGGAGCTTGAGAGCGTCTGAAAAATCTTTCCCCAGCCAGCCTCCTCTGACTGAGCCAGACTTTCCTGCGCAACACTTTGGTGACATCAGGGACCTTCTGCAGACTTTGCTGCCATTCCAATGCTCACACTTTAGTGCAATCTTGTCATCCATGTCTGTCCCTCCCAGTGGATTAATGCCAGGTAGGCCTCTGTTCATATTACAACCCACACATGGGATAGAGCAATGCTCAGTATTTTTTTGGCCAAATGACAAATAAATTGACAAACACACAATGCCCTTAGCTCCACCCAAGAGAATATCCACCATATGCTGGCATCTTGTGTGGCAGGAAGTCTATTTAGTGACAGCTCTAGCTGGAGGCAGATAGCCACTGGGGAAGCAAGGTACCCCCCCCACATACACACACGCACGCGCGCGCGTGCACACACACACACACACACACACACACACACACACACACACACACACAAAGGACCATAGAGAGATCTATCCCAGGGGTTCCATCTGGCCATATCTAGCGGTGTCTTTGGGTGAACACCATGTTCCAAGGAGGACAGAGATCAAAGAGGATGGAGACAATGAGGAGGCAGTCAAGCAGGAACAGACAGAAGGCCCAAGAGCGCCTCCCGAGGATGGACAGTTCAGACTGACTTACTATCGAAACATCCCTGAGGTGGAGGCTTCCACCACTTCCTCCAGCTGCTGCAACTTGTCAGGGTTCTGTGTCACCTCCACCCTTTGTCCTCAGCACCAGTTAATAGTTTGAAGCTTTATCTCCACGTGACCAACTCTCAACTTCACCGCCTTTCTAATATGACCTCCATGGCTGCCCGTAAGAATATTCACCCTTCTATTGGGAGTGTCTTTTAGCTTGCACCCTTCCCCGACACAACACCACCCCTCTGCAACCTTCTGTTGAAGTCTACATCCATCTTCCAAACTCCAGGCATCCACAAAGCCCTTCCTTCCCCCAACCCTAGGCTACATGTGCTCTCTGCACAAGACACTGGATGACGCAGCAGGATCTTGGCACTCACCAATAGGATAGGCTAATGGATTACAGGGGTCCCAAAGATCCACCTGTCTCAGCCTTTCCAGGAATGGGATTACAAGTGTGTGCCACCAAACTTGGCTTTTAAGAAACATTGTTCTACTTAAAAACAATGTTATCATGGGTTGTAGGGATTCAACTTAGGTCTTCATCCTTGCAAAGTGAGAACTTCATTGACTAAGGCATTATTTCACACACATACTTTTTGATATTTCATCTTTGCAGGTTTTCATGTAACCCAAACTAAGGTAGTTTTAACCATCTGATCCTCTTGAATAGTTGGTTGCCACAAGAAGGACAAGAAGCAGTCAAGGTATCTTAGTTTACCAAATTGGCTTTATTATTTCCAGTTTGACTTATCTCAAATCCTTTTATTTCCTATCCAAGATTCCTGAGCCATAGTCCAGATCCTGGGATTTACCACCAACTTCAAAGACAGAAAAACTGCCCCATAAGATATGAGCTCAACCTTTAGAACTCTTCAAGCAGGCTATGTCTTAGTAAAGATAAAAGCATCCAAAACCCCAAGCAATGTGGACCAGCACAGCTTCACGTTCCTGGGAGAAGCAGCCCTAGAGAAGAGGAAAGGGCATTGGGCTCTGAGCACCTTCTCTATTCTGCCTTTCGTGTCTGTTGTCTGTAAACACAAGGTTTACACAGTGCATTCCCCATGGTACATCAGAGTGGCTGATAATAAACTGTTGCCTGGTGAGGCTGAGTGAACTCCCCAGCCCTGCCTGTGAGTGTGCCATAGCACAGAAAGAAAGCCACCTTCAGGGACGACATCTGAGCAGATGGCCCATAGCGTGAAAGCTGTCCATTAAACAGCTCTCCAGACATTGCTTTTCGGGTCAAGCAACAAGTGAAAGAGCCCTATCCCTGACATTGACATTGGCACTTGAAGAACCCTGAAGAGGAGGGCACCAAGGTTGGCTGTGGGCTCTCCTGGGAAATGTGTTGGCTTGCAGTTCTTCCAGCTACTGCACAGTTGTCGCTGATTTTTTCCTCTTCAGAGTTAAGAAGTCTCAGCTTCAGACATCCAAGACCACAGAAATAAAGTTTTTTATTGTTACTGTTTAATTTAAAGAACATCACACAGGCCTTTATGCAGTTGTCATAGCCATTAAGCCTAGAGTGACCCTGGCTTGATTTAGATGGTGCTCCTCTTTTTATGTCTGCTTCCCTGTCCTAGGCAAGCTCACACAAGAACGCACGCACGCACGCACACACGCACGCACGCACACACGCACGCAAGCACGCACGCACGCACATAGTGTGCCTGGCCTCAGTTCTCTCACAAGTTCAGCAGGTCCAGGCCTTGTGTGGTGGTTTGAATGAGAATGGCCCCATAGACTCATATGTTTGAATACTTGGGCCTCAGTGGAACTGTTTGGAAAAGATCAGGAGGCGTGGCCTCGTTGGAGGAGGTGTGTCACTGGGGGGCGGCTTTGAGGTTTCAAAAGCAGAAGCAATTCCCAGTTAACTTGTGAGCTTGTTCTTCTGTTCTCCCCCCACCCACCCACCCCCACCTCGCTCTTGCTCTGCCTTGTGGTTATCTCGAGATGTGAACTCTTAGCTGCTGCTCCAGTGCCTGCCTGCCTGCCTGCCGCCATTGTTCCCCACCATGGTGGTCCTGGGCCCAACCTCTGGAACTATAAGCTCCGAATGAATTCTTTCTTCTGCCTTGGTCATGATGTCTTATCATGGTTAGTACTTGGGTGTGAGAAAGACCAGGAAGGTCAACATGTAGTGTCTTCTGTACCAGTGGCTCTTAAGCGTGCCTGGGGGCAACTCCATGGCCGAATGAAGTGTGTCAGCTGAATTGTCTACAGAGCACACGTTGGAAGTGGCGCTGAGAGTCAGCCTGTAAGGGAAAGCATCAGCTCAGGACCCCCAAGGCCAAGTGCCCAGCACAAAGGAGATGCATTTGCCCCAGTGGGACAAAGGGCAGGGACAGGGGATAGATGAGAGGGGGAAGGGAACAAAGGAGAGAGAAAGGGGGTATTTGTTCTTTGCGGGGGTCAGGAAGTACTGTCTCTGGATAAAGGGAGACAGATGTGGCACATAGGAAAATGGCATTTTATAAAGGTAAAGGAGGAAACCCCATATTAGGATGAGGTGCTTACTCTTGATTGGGTAGGTTAATTAGGTAAGCCAAGAGGCTTCTTATTGCTAAACTTCAATATTTCAATAGCTGGATCTTGGTAGTCAGCCTCAGGAGGAGGAAACAGCCAAATAAGGGAAGAAACATTGATGGTTACTGATGGAATATAATGGTTTTTAGCAAGGAAGAGGGAATGGG